ACAGACCGGGCCGCGGGGGCGTTGACCCCCGGAACTCTCTCCAGGTAAACTCCAGGTATGGTTCGTGCAATTACAGCCTCATTTCCTCAGTCTCTCACATGAAGCTGCCGAAGTGACAGCAAATGAGCACAAATTGACTGCACTGGTTGACTTGTGTAGCTCATAGTTTAGTAGGTGAAAGTGCTGCTAGAAGATTAAATCTAATAGTATACCAATCAAGTAAAAAAAAAACTCCTATTGGTTATCTAATGTAGGGTTTTCTTATGTGACCTTGGGACTCACTGGTCATATATTAGCATCAGAGTTGTAAAATATCTGTTGTGACCTGTTTTTTGGGCCAAGATTTCCAGAAACAACACAAAATTTTGACATTCAATTATGGTAGACAAACCAGAGCTCACACTTCCTCACCATTGTTGCTTGACAAGTCATCACTTTTTCCAAACCTTCCTCCAAGATGACAACCCATTGCAACCAGGTCTTGGCACTTCGGTAAGATAAGGATGCCAATTTGTTAACTGAGGAACAAACATCTTACTTGCTGTCAGAAGACATCACTGAAGCAAGCTCATTTCCTAGGCGTGGTCAGGTTGCTGTGGTTGAGGATCCTCTTAACAGACATAAGAAGACTATTGATTACTCTCATACCATTAGCTAATAAATAGAACTTGATGCCTAGCTATTACCAAGGATGGACAGCATAGTTAATAACCATGTAAAATACATTGTGTTTTCTATTGACTTGAGAAGTGGTGCTTGTTACCAAGTTTCAATTAAGGAACCTGACAGGAGGTACACCACTTGAAATTAATGTGAGACTCAATTTTGTAGGATCCCATCTGGCATCACAAATGGAGTTGCTGCCCACAGGATGGGTATGGGGTGCATAATAAACATATTAAACTAATTGCCTTTCAGCATTCTATGGACAAACAGAGAAGAAAATCTCAAGACTTCCTTCCCATACGTGAACATACGTGAGCTGAATATGATGACCGTCTCCGGACTTTTTTGGATTTTTGGATTTTAGGATTTTTGCAAAGAGCACAGGGAATATTTGCTTATTATGCCCACTAGATCCCCAGTTTCTCAGATAAGTGCCCTGGGAAAGAAAATGTATCCCTTGATACGTTGACCAGAGCTTCTTGATGTTTGACCTTTTCTACATCCACTGAAATGCATAATGGACACTGCCATCCTTTAGAAACTAGGCTTCTGCACTTTGTGAGATCATAAACTTCCCATTCTGAACAGATGTAAAACAAGGATTAGCACATCTTACAAAGGTTGTTCAGAATGGAAACCTCAGCTTTATCACTCATCAGAAGAGACATTCTTCAAGACTACTTAGCTATGGAAAGGAACGGTTCAGCATTGATTTTAAAGAGACCTTTACTACCAGCGACTCGTAATCCTTATATGCTCACAGTCCTTGAAAAGTACTTACCTTTCCCTTTTGTCTTTCCCTCTCCTAACATACACACAACTACTGTGATCAAATACCTTCAATCGATATTTAACCTTTGTGGAATGACTAATTATATCAACTCAGATCGAGGTACCTCCTTAATGTGTCAGGAGATCAAGGCGTACCTATCTTCTTCAACAAGCTGGACAACAACGTTTTATCACCTTATTGGGAATGGACAGGTGGAACGGTACATTGCTATTATATGGAAAGTAATTCGTCCAGCACTGAAACCACATAGCTTCTCAGAGCAACACTAATTCATAAAAATAACCCGCATATAGGAGAATGAAACTTACGACGACGTTTCGGTCCGACTTGGACCATTAACTAGCAACACTGTAACAAGGTAATGGACCGAAACGTCGTCATTAGTTTCTTTCTCCTATGTGCAGGTTATTTGTATATTGTTCCAGTCACGTTATTGTGCCTTTTTGTTCTTTATCACTAATTGATTGTAGTGCTTTTATTTAGATCACTTTTGTCTACTGAAGTTATAAACGAGAACCTAATATAGTAGGTGTCCCGTGGCCTGGTAGGCAACGCTCTTGCCTCACACATTGAATGTCCATTGTTCAATCCCTGGCCGGGTGGAACACTGGGCATTTCTCTACACCTACTGTCCCTGTTCACCTACCAGTAAGTAGATACCTGGGTGTTAGTCGACTGGTGTGGGCCGCATCCGGGGGGGGGGGGGGACAAGATTAAAGGACCATAATGGAAATAGGAGACAGTCCTCAATGACTCACTGAATTTCTTGGGTTATCCTGGGTGGCTAACCTTCCAGGGCTAAAAATCCGAACAAAATGTTATCTTATCATGGAACGTTCCACATAACCGAAAAGTCCCGGGTTCAGTTCTCGTTGCCCGTCACAATTTATAGACAAGTTTCTTCGAACCCCCTGTTCACTCAGTAGCAAAAATAAATACCTGGGTGTTTATAGACTGCTGTGGGTCACATATTAGAGAAAATTTCCAACGCAAATATGTTATAAACTTTAGTGTTGGTGGGTTCCAAGTTGCTCAGTAGTGTGACCACTGGGCACTCAAGCCACTTCGTCTTGGATTCGAGTCCTGGACCAGCGACCAACCACATGTAACCTGGAGAGTTTACCTGGAGAGAGTTTCGGGGGTCAACGCCCCCGCGGTCCGGTCTGTGACCAGGCCTCCTGGTGGATCAGCGCCTGATCAACCAGGCTGTTGCTGCTGGCTGCACGCAAACCAACGTACGAGCCACAGCCCGGCTGATCAGGAACTGACTTTAGGTGCTTGTCCAGTGCCAGCTTGAAGACTGCCAGGGGTCTGTTGGTAATCCCCCTTATGTGTGCTGGGAGGCAGTTGAACAGTCTCGGGCCCCTGACACTTATTGTATGGTCTCTTAACGTGCTAGTGACACCCCTGCTTTTCATTGGGGGGATGGTGCATCGTCTGCCAAGTCTTTTGCTTTCGTAGTGAGTGATTTTCGTGTGCAAGTTGGGTACTAGTCCCTCTAGGATTTTCCAGGTGTATATAATCATGTATCTCTCCCTCCTGCGTTCCAGGGAATACAGGTTTAGAAACCTCAAGCGCTCCCAGTAATTGAGGTGTTTTATCTCCGTTATGCGCGCCGTGAAAGTTCTCTGTACATTTTCTAGGTCGGCAATTTCACCTGCCTTGAAAGGTGCTGTTAGAGTGCAGCAATATTCCAGCCTAGGTAGAACAAGTGACCTGAAGAGTGTCATCATGGGCTTGGCCTCCCTAGTTTTGAAGGTTCTCATTATCCATCCTGTCATTTTTCTAGCAGGATTAAGGATTTTATTGCTTTGCATAGTTTACAATGTGTAATTACAATTTTGATTTGCTAAGTACAAAGAAAGCCACTAGGTCACGTTCACTCATAGCTTACGTAGCAGTGTGTTAACATGACTTTTTTTGTCTTGAGGGCATACAGATGTTATGAGGGCATACAGATGTTATGAGGGCATACAGATGTTATGAGAGCGTACAGATGTTATGAGGGCATACAGATGTTATGAGGGCATACAGAAGTATATAGGATACAAATGTGTTAGAAACACAAATTCCACTGGACACACCAGAGTTCAAAGTATTCATCAATTCTCCAATGTATTTTAGGTCAATACTGTATAGTCCTTGTGGCTTAGCGCTTCTTTTTGATTATAATAATAATAATTTAGGTCAATATGGAGTTTAGGTCCTGATCAGAACTTGCCCATTATAATACCGTGTACATTATAAGTGGCCTGGTGGCAAAGCTCTTGCTTCACACGCTGAGGGTCCGGGTTCGATTCCCGGCAGTGATGAGAACATTGGATGCTTTTCCTTACACCTGTTGTCCTGTTCACCTAGCGAGTAGGTACCTGGGTGTTAGTCGACTGGTGTGGGTCGCATCTTGGGGGACAAGACTGAGGACCCCAAATGGAAATAAGTTAGACAGTCCTCGATGACGCACTGACTTTCTTGGGTTATCCTGGGTGGCTAACCCTCGGGGGTTAAAAATCCGAACTAAATCTTATCTCGGTAACAATTGTTATTTCTGTATCAATTTTGGCTAGAGTCAATCAACGATTAGTATCGAGTCGTGTAACGCATCTGACCAATCACAGCAGAGTAAATACACATCAGAATGTAAACAAAGGTACACCAGTCCTACATCTACCGAGGGCAGAGTAAGGTTAAACTACGTTAGATTATTATAGGCTGGGTACGTTGGTTTTCCTTAGAATAGATTACGTTTCTTACTATTTCCACAAAATAAAACTTCTAAGCACATAAACCCACCTACTATCTGACATTTTAAGGAGTAGGTTATCGATCAACACAGACTAAGACCTGACGTCAATAATGGCCGTATTTTATCTAATGATGATAATTATTAAAAATATACACAACAAACGCTTAATTTATTAATATTCTTTAACACAACAGTTGGCTGAACTCAAAACTTCTAGAGAGCTAACCAGTATTATTCTGCATTGCCGCATTCGATTTTAAGCATAGCATGACATAATTAAATGAAAATCACGTAGAAGGTTAACGGTTATCGTGTGCCGTTAGAAATTATAAATGCAGTTGAAAAAACTTTAAGGAAAATTTCTACGTTTACTTTCTGTTGGTAGGTCTGATGGCGTCCGATTGACCTAATAATATTTGGAGAGAAATGTAAAAAGCCTATTTGTGAAGGAATATATACAATAATAGGCATAGGTAAAATTAAAAGATTATGAACTTGAATTTTGTTGTGCACTTAATCGTGAGAAAACAATGAGTGAAGGTGATAATTATTGATCACTAATGACCTCTTCTTCACAAACGGACACATTACTACTAATTCTCAATGCCAGTCAGTCAAGTGCTCAACAAAATATAAAACAAACGCCAAAGTTAAGCGATTATCTAATGATTACCAAATACAATATGAAGGAAAGGAACATACACATAGAAGTTACATGTCTTTTGCTATACTAAGTAAAAGAGTTTGATAATTATCTTTGTATATATGTGAGAGAGTGGTGTTCCAGTAATAGTTTTCATCAGATGATCCATGGTTGACCAAGTTTATCATGGCTGAAAGTGCTTATGAAGAAGCATAATGTGAAAACGTATTAGGGTGTTGTTTAGTCTTCCCCTACGGCCGTGTAGGTGGTTTGGTAGAGTCTTGAGGGAGTGATGGGGTCTCAGAGTGTGGAAATACTACGCCAAGGAATATGGGCGTCGATCACAGGCGGCTGGTTCTACGACCCTCATCAGGATGTCTTCTGCAACACCTTCCACCTGTACCTGTGGCTCTACCTGGTCTGTGCGCCCTTCTCTATATACATGGTGAGTGTCTGCTGCCACTCTCATAGAATTCTGAGTGGGGCTGTAATGTGGCTATGGATCCCTTCCCTATGGCGCCTTGCTCCACAATACAGTATAACAGCCTCACACCTGTACATGTCTTGGCTTCTGTATTTAAGGTACATAACATGCCATTAAAATTACAGTCAGAGTTTTATGGAATATTAGCACCTGGTGAATGTTAAGGCCCTGCCCTGCTGACACCAGTAGACCTGCAGTGTTCTGATTATCCTGAGGCTCAGTTGGTGGCAGATCTGGCTCTTCCCAACAGATATTTAGAGTATTGTTTATTTTGATTGAAATAATGAATATTTTACAGAGCATTTTTGTTGTTAGATGCAGTAAACAGCAATTGGAACCTTTCTGTAGAGAAAGTTTTGCCTACACATCAAGGTGTCTCAAGTCTGGTAGATCATACCTGGTGGTTGCACATTTTATTGTCAGGATAGTGTAACATAATCAGGTGTTAATATAGGAAAGTAAACAAATATTTTGGGAGGATTTCAGTAAGTCTACTGGTCCAAAGTGGGTAGATTTTGGGACTTGCTATCATGTTGAGTACTGCTAGTGCAATAGCAACAGTTGGTAGTTTCTATACTATTTACCACAATTAACACTGCTGCATATGTATAGGCATACAGTGGTGAAAGCAATTTTGATTTAGATAAGGATAACCCCCAAAAGTTTACATCTATTGGATTCCCTTTGTCTTATCTCTTCATTGCCTTAATTTAAAGTGAATTAACAAACTTTTGAAGGATTTTTTTTTTCCTCGAACTATTAAATGAAAAACATGGGGATCAGTGCCTCTGCAATTCGGTCTTAGACAAGGCCTCCTAAATTTGATATTCAGTATATTCATGAAGGGCTTTTGTACCTTATGTAGGTCTAAGCATAAAGAATGGTGGAGACTAGAGAAGGCCTTCTAGGTCAGAGAGGAAATAATACAGAATTAAGAGCCTCGTCAAAGACTGGGCCATGGGGGCATTGACTTCTGAATACCCTCCATGTAGGTAGACTAAGAAGCACTTGGGAAAGTAAGGGTAGGTATGGTAGTAGTAATAAATAAAGTTAACCAAGTGTTGCACATATATGTTTATCAACTTGTTGGTATAGTATACTGTACCATTACTGCTCAATTCTTTGAGCATGACCTAATTCCACTAGTGGGTCTGCCCACAGTGACAATGTCTTCAATATAGTACATTAAACTCTCCATATAACGGACTTCGTGGACTTCACAAATACGGAATGAAATCCACTGGGTCACTCAATTTGAAAAGTGGACACAGTCCATTCGTTGTAGAATTGTGCATTTTTGTTACAATCACAGCAAACCAATCTCTTCTCTATCCATCACAGTAGTTGTTACCAGACATGCACTTTCCCCAAATAGGCCTTTAAGTGAAGGGTTTGCTGTACTTATTTATAATTACATACATTAATTTTTAAACTTAATAATTTATGTATATTACACATATATGCTATGTACATTGACACCTAGCTCTGCTAGGTGTCAATGTAGGTGGCATAAGCAGAGTAAACATCAGATTGAACACTGGGACTCAAAGATACTACGTATATCTAATTCTGTGGTAAAAAACGTAACATTCTTTGATCTCTGAGGCATTATTCCTTTAAATGAAAGAGCATACAAATAACACACAGTCCCCTGGAGCACTGCAAGGTTACACAGTCACAGAGAATGTCACAGGATGGAAAACAGTTGCACAGAGCATCATGACAATCATGCCCAATGATGCAAGTGACAATCACACAGCAATGCAAGGTAACACACAGTCACACACAGCACAAAGTATGGCAGGGCCCACAGGTGTTGCTACAACACACCCTTGATCCTAACAACTACATGACAACTGACACTCGAGTGAGTGACCAAGCCCCTACAGAGAACATCACTCTGTAGATATCCCATGACAATCATAGGAGAAGGCATCAGCAATTCAAGCAGCTGC